ATCGGGCTCAGGTATTGTATCTTATTGCTATTTGAGTAAAGATCCATATTGCTGCTTCCATCGTAGGAGTGATGGTAGCTCACTACAAGAATAATACCAAAAGGAAGTCCTCTTCGTTCCCTATGATCATCATGGGACTTTATAGGAAGTTTCAGATTTTACTTCCTCCTAGAGCTCATCATCTTGACATCATGTCCGAGTTAGATCTCCGGATCTTGAACAAGTCCAAGTCTGCAAAGGATAATGCAACGAAGGTTATTAGGGGATCAGACACTGATTCTACTCAGCTTCCACAGATCTTTCCCTCCAACAGGAATTTCACAAAGGATGATGGAAATATACTCTATTCTCTGATTCTTTAGAATCAGAATGCCATGTTTGACACTATCTGTGACTACAGGCCGAGGTCAAATTTTTTCAGGAACAGCAAATAGGTGGTACTTTTGAGGACGTCTACAGACCGACACCTCCAGATCCGCATTAGCTACTGAGGATGATGATGATGCGACTGACGATGTTGGTGATGACGACGAGGATAATAGTGGTAGTTGTAGTGATGGTGGTGATGATGAGGATATACCGACTACTGCTATTCCTTTTGAGGGCGATGATGCTTGATTTTCTAATTATATCGTACATGCATCATATTTTTGTTCAGTTCATACATTGTTACGATATATTATTTTTTGGATATTATCTTCTGATTAATGACATGTTTAACTGAATTATTTCTCTTCTATATTTTCTACTCTGATAATTCTATTTTGCTTTGTCATTTTGTTCCAAAAATGGGGAGAACAATGACTAATTAAGGGGGAGAAAATTTTAAAAATTGGATAATTTATTCAGGGGGAGTTTTTATAAATTATTTTATTAAACTTTCACTGGTAGTTTTGCTTGATACATGTGCAGGAAATCAGGTAAAATTTTGTCCAAGAGAAGAAGAGAACAGAGAAGAAAAATTCCATGTGTCCTCGACAAATTGTAATCTATTATTTTTCTGCTTAGGTAGATTATATTTGTTTTAGGGTTTTGTCATGAAATTGCCAAAGGGGGAGATTATGAGATATAATTTTTGTAATTGGAAAATTTTGATGTCAAAATAAGTCTGATTGAGTTGTAATTTCAAGTTACCATATCAAGATCGAGATCAGCTGTGGAATTGGAAGGTTGTTCATACCGAAATCTACAGGAAAGGAAATAACAACACTTTAGGAAGTTGTTTCCCACTTAGGACATTATACCTATATAGTATATTCTTCAAGTTACAAAAAACAGAGTTTTCCAAGTTGGTTTCAAACCCTTCTTTAGGATTTTGTCAAGTGGGAACCGGTACTGAGTTTGGGAACCGGTTCAAGAACCTTAGCTTTGAAGAATTCAGCTCTGTCCTTTGGGAACCGGTTCCACATATAGCTACCAGTACCACTACTGATATAGTTTCAGGTAACTTGTTTCCTATTCTGTTTTAAACTTCCTAATTGGTTTAGAATACTACCAAAAGTCCTATGCACAAAATTTCCTTTATTTTATGCATGATTAGCTCTTTGAATATTCTATATAAACCTTGATATTCATCTAGGGTTATATGGATTTTGCATTATAACTTTGATTTATTAAAATCTTTAGAGAGATATTTTTGCAGAAAATCAAAGTTGATTTTTCTGTCATTCTTTTTAGAACACACATATAAACACAAGAGTGAGTTTAAAGTGTTTTTCAAATCCTGATCGTGATCAAAGTCTTACATCTACAATCACAATAGAAAAACAGATTTACTTCTACATCAAATTCAGATATTGAAGAACATAAGTAAAAGCGATCACACTTTGAAAGGGTCAAAGCATTCAAGGAGTGTTGTTTGATCTACTAGCAATCCTTTTACAGAGATCAAGAGTAAGCCTGAGGTCAAGTGTTGTTGGACGGGACATCTCAAAGCTAGAGGATTGTCAACGATTGGTGTTTAGTAGAACGATAGGGTGTGAGCCTAAGTCAAAGCTCAATGTACTTTGTTTCAAATATAGTGGATCGGTTTACTTTAGACTGCATAGTCCACGAAGTTTTTCCCACGCAAACAGTTGGTCTATTTTACCAATTAGGGTTCCTCGCTAAAAATCTTGGTGTCATCTCTAACTCTATTACTTTATTTTATTTTATCTTGTATGTGATTAATTGCTAAAATAAGTAAAGCTAGAAAGACACAGATTTATTTCCCAAAATACAAAACGTTCTAAATCTTCCGCTGCATATAACTCACTATTATACTCTTTTTCTAAGAAGTCGAAGGGAACAAAATGGTCAAGGAGGCTGGTCAAACTTAGGATTATTTTTCCCAATCAATGTTAATCTGTGAACCATTTCGTACTGTATACGGTTTCACAATAAAAGAAAAAATAGTTTTCATCGTGATTTTGGTATTCATCTTTGTTCTATATATTTTTTAAATTTAAATTATGTCAATGTGTGTTCTAGGTGTATTATATAATGTTTTACTAATTATACTAGAGCTAAGGTCCTATGACTTTTCCTAAATTTTCAAAACTCCTTTTATGCCCTTATTAATTTTGAGCCAGTAACTTCAAATATTGACAAAATTGCATAACTTTTATGCTATGTTTGGCTGGAGGGAAGGATTGAGAAGGGATGGATCAGAGGTGGGATGAATGAACCTTTTCGTGTTTGGTTGGAGGGAAAAGAAGAGAGAGAGGAAACAAGGAGAAAGAAGGGATAACTACCTACAAATATATAATTTTTAATTTTTTAACCTTTCCAAAAAATTTAAAATAGATATCCACCTTTTATAATTTTATATAATGAGGTGTATTGGTAAAAAAAAATATATATATAAAAACTCTCTTTCCATTTCTTCCAACCAAACAAAAAAAAACGTTTCACCATATCCATCATTTTTACTGTCTATCCCATTCAACCAGACAAAAATGGGGGCGACACATTTCCTTCCATAAGGATGCCTAATCCAACACCCCCCACCCCCTCTCCATCCATTTTTCCATCACTCCAACCGAACGGAGCATTAATAAAGCATCCAAAGATTAATCCAGACTCTTTTATAATCCTTATCATATGGTTTGACATATTATTCATCTATTTATTTCGTTAAAATATTACAATATTCTTTAAATGACCCCAAAGTTTATTATTATTATTATTAACTTTTTTTTTGGTCCATGATAATGATGTCGGGCTATGAGAGAATCCAATAATTCACCACCGAGAGGTGATTGCCAAACCAATATAAAGCTAAAATAGGTGGATGATCAATCTGGGATTATTTTGGATGATGTCTCGGTTCTATTAAATAAGATCAAGGGGATTCAGCTCCTTTAGACTTCAAAATGTGGTAAAACTGTTGCTCAATTACCAAATCAGCATACTCTCAAATGCAAAAGCGGTGATCTAGAGAAGCAAGGTGTGGCCAGAATGGACTCTCAGTGTAATACACTCTAAATTATGTTTGGATATTTGATTCCTCTGTTTTGAATGAAATGATTTTGCCAGGTTAAAGAGAGAGTATATTGGGAGATATAGATTGGTATACATATGCATACCAATATAGAATACACCAATAAAAGTAGAAAGTGTAGAATTTAAGTCACATTAGAAATTAAGTGGGTATGTGAGTAACTTGTCAAAGTTACAAAAAAAAAAATAATAAATAAATAAATAAAAAGAAGAAGAAGAAGACGAAGAAGAAGAAGAAAGGAACCTAGAGAATATTTTGTGTTACTAACATACATTAAATTTGTACCCCCAAGAAGTTCGTGGTAATGAACATAAAAGGTATATGCCAACGCACGCATACCCATAATATTGCTTCTTATATGACTCGAATAGATTTTACCATATGAGGTAATGCCTCGTTGGTGCCATTGTGCTAGGCATGGGTAAGAAAATATATCTAATTTGGGACAACCCTTTGTTCTCGTTTTTACTAGCAATGTGAATTCAGAAATGTGGCTTATTTGGTTTGTTACTTATTAAACAATTTTCAAGAACTCTGAAAATAAAAAATTATAAAAGATAGTTCTTTTTAAAAAGTTTTTAAAAAATTATCAGCCTAGTAAAATTTTATACTATTTTTTTTTGTGATTTTTGTTTTAATTTTCAAAAAATAGAAAATTATTATTAGAAAATTGAATCAACAAGCCAAACTTATCTAGGTAAAAACTCTCGCTAAGACCATCCAGTATGCAACCAAAAGTGGCAAGGCCGAGAGATTGTAGTGAGACTTGGGTGGTTGGTGCGGTACCACATGTCGGGTCCACACTTTTTTTCTTTATATATATATATATATATATATATATATATATGTATTTAGGATGTGCAGAGCCCCACACAATTTTTTTTTTTTTTTTTTGGTGTTTATAATATAATGTGATCACTTGCCATTATTTTGATTTTCAGGGACATAACAACTCTTCTTTTTCTATTTATGCGTTTCCACAATATTGTAATTCCTGTTCCTTTTAATATATTTGTGTGCCTTTTAAGTGTTTGTGTTTCACCATGGTATTATAATTCTTACTTTAAATTAGATATAAAGCTAATATGTATAATTTTAAAATATTTTCTTTTCATACAATTTTATAACTTGAAAATTCAATTCTAACTTTTCAAAAATATGTTAGTCAACTGATTCAACCTAGCTTATATTTGGATTCTCTCACTATCTCATTGAAAATGTTGTTAACTTCCTTCTCATTTACTTATTTTTATCTTACTTTTTTGCCTTTAAGCCTTTTATCATAATTATGTTTATAGATATGTTAGTCAACATGTACTGTGTGGTAGTACTATCTCTTGTAATATGTACATATTTAATGGATATGAAAAAGATACACGAGTTAAATTCTTATTGGTTCCAGTTTGGCTGATTCCAATTTTTTTGCTTATTTTGTATTTACAAAATTACTTTTTTATCCGTACGTATTTAATTTGGAAAAACCCTCCAACAATAAATGAGAAAAAGACTATGGAACACATTGACAAAATTTCACTATTTGAAAAATAATAATAATTAAAGAAAATTTCCACTCAAACGTACACAAACATAGTTAATAGTATTCTATTGATAAACAAGCCTATAGACAAGCAAGATTTACCGCCTCAACCCGCAGAGCGTTTAATGCACTGCAAATGCAAATCAATGTTTTTTTTTTTTATTTTTTATTTTTTGGTGGGGAGGGGACAAACATTTACTTACTGCCACACTTTATTTTCTTCAATCACTTCATTGCACATATTTACTTACTGCCACACTTATTTCACTCGTACATTCACACACACATACATTTACTTTCTGTCACACTTTATTTTCTTCAATCACTTCACTGCACACATTTACTTACTGCCACACTGATTTCACTCCTACATTCACGCGCTCTATAACACTCATATATTTCCAAATTCTTCAAACTAGAAAACCTGACCTGCAAAAACATCAATCCAATGGTGTTTCATCATCAGAAATAACAAAGAGAAATGGGAAGCATATATAGCTTCATTCTCTCAAGTCTCAACATAAAATTACAAGGAAAAAAAACATTGATCCGGTTGAGATTTCTTAGTATCCACTTAATTACAAATTAACATGTGCTTCACCAGGGTCAAGAAAACTTCAAAAAATTACAAAAAAATCAGAATATTTTGATTATACATATATATATTATCGTAATTTCATGCTATTAATATAATCCTACCTCATAATATATAATTGATTAAGCGAAACAACAAATTAGTAAATTTTATCGGGGATATAAGCAGCTATGTGTAGACACCATTGTGGAGATGAAAAATAAAAGGAGTATGTACCTGGTATGGGGAGGAGAGAGAATAAGAGAGTAAAAGAAATTAAAGAGTTTAATTTGATAGAGGGAGCATTGGAAAATTATTATAATTTCTATGTGATAGGTTTGTGAAGCTGGAAAGATTTTAACAATATTGAGAGATTTTCAGTGCGCATATATGCATGGTTAATTAAGAGTTAAGACATAACGTACCTTGTGGTTGACCAAGGCTTGTAGTCGGGATTTTTTTGTTTCTTCTTCAGAACTTTTCAAGTTAGACAAAAACCAAAGTTGTATAGTCTTTAAGTGAGGGAACACGGAAATCTCATTATTTGCTTCTGCTGCTGCTTCTCCTTGTCCAACTTCAAATGCAAGTATCTCTTTCATCTCTTTACAATTGAATGCCACTAATCGTTGGAGATGTTGAAAGGAATCTCCAACTTTCAGGACCGGGAGTAATTGCTTGTCCCATATCGCTTTAATGCTATACAATCCATAAATGTACAATTCCTCCAAGACAGGAAACATAACCTGGGATCCATTACATTAAATTTTGTCAACTAATAAACATCATGTATATATTTTTTGTTTTGTAAGTCTTCCCAACCCACTCCATGCTAAGATTTTTGAAAGCATTAATTCCAAATAGTCTTTATGAAAAGAAGGTACTCCGTTATTTATATATCATCAACTATAGAACAACTAAGAAACAATTTTTGTATAGTTTTTAGCTTTTCAAATTTTTTTTTTTTTTTTCCTACTTTTCCTTACCAAGAAACAATAGGAATGAGCCCTACATTTAACCAAGGATAGATCGACCCCCATATTTGTCTTACTTATAGTGTTGTAATATAATTGATTCTTGGTTTAGGAAGATAAATATAAATTTACGGGAGGGTCCAATGCAACCTGGTGACAGCCTAGCAAATCAAATTTAATTAGTGGCAAAAAAAAAACTGAGTTTGACCTTCCTCTTAAATGCATGCTTGTTCCTCTCAGACAATTTTTTGACAATTTATAATTAAATCGACACAAGGACTGGATATAAGACCAAATTGGGAAAGAGACAGAGCCACACAATCGACAAGAATTATGGATATGGAAGAAAAAAAACCACAAGAGTTGAGAGCCGATTTTAAATTGCAAGTCAAAGAATGAAGCTCTGCCAAGGGATGAGAGCTAAACCGAGCATTAGATTTTACACGAGGGGAGAAAAACGAAGCATCTCACAACAGTTAGATAGCACAGCAAGGTTATATATCAGTGTGACTTTTGATCTAAAATCAAATTGCTTTGACTATGAATTTCTTTGTGTGGGAAAAGGAAGTCCTGGCCCAAGATCAAAATAGGCTGAATTACTCCCAAAAAAAAAACAAATCATCAAAAGCATTGAATTTGTGAAATTAAAATTACCAACACATTCTGAAGCCTAGTAAAATTAACAACATAAATAATACTCACGTAAAAGCAAAAGAAAAGGGTAATAGTAATGGTATTATATTTACTTTTAATTAACCTTATTCCATGCAGAATGACATGATTATTATTTTATTTTTTTAAAAGAATTTTTTAGGAAATAAACTTGTCTAAATGCCTAGTAAATTTTTTGACTAAAAAACTAAAATAAAATAAAACTTATTTCAAATAGTGGTCTAATATTAATAATTAATCTTAATCACTTAATTTAAATAATTTTGTGATTATCCATATTTAAGAGATATGGTGCATTGTATGTGATAGGGGTGCATTGTATCATAAACTCTTATATGCCTTGATATTATAAATGATTATGCGAAAGCATTGTATGTGGTTATCGGAAACGCATTTTTTTTTTTTTTTAATCAAGATTTATATCATTGGACCCATGAGTTTTATTTATGCAGGAATTGTTAACACCCAATAAAGTAAATCCCCATCATAATAACAACTAATATACAAACATACGTGTATGTATATAGTTCTAAACTCTACAAGCTTAATAATTTTTCCTTAATTTAGGTTTTACCTTATTTTGTATCAAAATTGTTAACCCATCTTTGCTTTTAATTTTGCTTTGCAAGAACTTTGACAAATTAGTGGGTCAACAAACAATTTCCAGAAATCAACTAAAGGTGTTCACAGAAGAAATATAAAAAATACCTTTTCATTGAAGAGAGGTTGTGTAACGGTGGAAGGCATGCTGTACTCTGTAGTTGATGTCTTCTTTGTATTGGCGTAAATGCTTCTGAGGTTTGGCAGACTTACCAGCTTCAATTCCTTTAACTGATGAAAAATAATTTTATCCGTGACTTCCTCATCACCTCTAATTATTTCTTCCAATGCCGAACAACCTTCAACATCTAGTTTATGTAGTTTTGGAAGACATCTTGCACTGGATGCGGAGAACAGATACTTCATTGATGTACAAAAATAAACTTTTAATACTCTTAATTTACCAAAAGAACCCAATGGAGATGGTCCATGAGTTTTTGAACTCCATTTGGGTTTGCCAAGTAGATGTTCCATGTCCTGGCATAACTCAACTGCAAGTACCTTCAAATCTAAAAACCACTCTCCGTCTCTGTCGTGAAGCACCTTCTTTAAACCTTCCAAATAAAACAAAAATAGTACTTCAGCGTTCGCAATCAAAACGTCAAGCCTATCCATCAAAGGAATACCACCAAGTCCCAAGACCTTTGTTTCTTTGTGTTGGCCAAGCACTGAATAAGGACCACACCCAATCCATATTTTATATTTCGTTAACAACTGAAAGCTGGGAAGGTTCTTGGGCAGTCGTAAGAAGACATGCGTTGGTATATAAATATCTAAAGCGGTTAAGCAAGTTAAAGAATTTATCTCAACAATGCTTGCATTGCCTTCAACCTCCCATCTATTATATTCCCTCGAAATGTACAATTCCTCCAAGTCGGATAGACAAGACAGGAAACCCGACAAAAATCCTATATCATCGTTAAATTTTCTTAAATCCAAGAACCGTAGGGAAGTCAACTTTCCTATTTCCAGAATCATCTCTTTGAATTCATAAATATAACCAATGACCAGTATCTTAAGGTTTTTCAATTCCTTGATGAAAGATAGGTTCACCAATTCACAACCACTTAGATACAACATCCGGAGACCAACCAAATGTGAAAGAGAAGATGGTGTTAGTTTCATCTTGTTCAAAACCAAAACTTCAAGCTTTTTCGTCCCTTCAAAAAAGCTATTTGGGAGTTCTAGTCGTGAAGCATCGGATGATCCCAATACTAAGGTGCGTAGTTCTGGACATTCTAACCGATTGGGAAGCCCACGAACATTGCAGGAAGCCCATAATGAGATTACTTTGCAACATGTATAATCATCTTTTTCCGGCCAAGCATCAACACCATCTTGCCCTAGAAGCGCATCCTTATCTTTTGATTTAATTGATATGGCAACATCTCTAACTACATCATGCATTTTGACCTTGTTTCCATCTTTCCTTCTAACAACAAATTAGATTTCTTGAGGATACCAACTATCACAAGTGTTCTCTCTCTTGCTCTTTTCATTGATGTTCTATCCATACTTTCAAGAAACTTTGTTCCTACTCCCAAAGGCACCAAAAGGTCAATAGAAATGTCAGTATCGTCAGGAAACAAAGAGCAATGCAGAAAGCATGACTGCACATCAGCCTGCTTCAAATACTTGTAGCTCCACTCAATGCATGTATACACCTTTTCTTCCACTCCATCAATTTTATATCCTCGACAATGTTTCAGTTGTTCAAGTGCATCATTCCATATATGCTTATCATCCAAACCGCTCAGTGCTCCTCCAACTGCACAAATTGCCAGTGGCAAATGATCACATTCTCTGCACACCTGTTGTGCTACAGAACGAATTTGAGGATCAGCTTCAATAAAATCTCCAACCGTTCTCTTGAATAGGTACCAAGCTTCATCTACTGATAGGAGTCTAATTTGAAAGTTATTTTTACACCCATCTTTTCGCACACTTCTCGTCTTCGAGATGTCACCAAAATTTTGCAACCCATGTTATTATCCATATCTGTTGGAATTCCTATTTTCTTCAATGTAATCTGATCATCCCAAACATCATCCAATATTACAAGGAATTTTTTCACTTTCATCAATCTATTGAATAGTTGACCCGCTCTCCATTCTTCGCTCTCATCATCTAGTTTCAGATTTAAACAGTTTGCGAGTTTTCCTTGAATTTTTTTCAGATCAGGATTCTGGGAGAAAACTGCCATTGCGACCTCATTAAAACGACCTTTTCTAGCTTGTTTGCCAACTTCCTCCACCATTGTTGTCTTGCCAACGCCTGCCATTCCATATATCCCGATCTTGGAATTCTTATCATCATCTGTCAACGCCTTCATGATCACCTCAAAAATAGATGTTCTGGTACTGAATTGCTCATAACTTGTGCTGGATGTGTACCAAATATCTTTGAGAAGAGTAACGTGTGCAACTTCATTGCCAAACTCATTGCGATTCTGCTTTAGTTTGATAGCTTCCATCACCATTTTCTTCCCTTTCTTACCAAGCCTGTACCGTGAACGCACATCAAGACATTTGATATTTGTTTTGTCTTTCAATTCTTCTTCCATAGTCGTCAATGACTGCTCCACTTCCTCCAGCCACTTCTCAGCAACCTTTTTAATGGTCATCCCGTTGGCCTCGGCTATATTGACAGCTTCTTGGACCGTGTCCTTCACATCTTTAAGATGCTTTAGTTCTTCTTCCAAATTCTTAATATTTTCCTTGTATTTAGCCACATAACCAATTTGACGCCCAATTGATGCGAACAAATAGTCAAATATTCGATCTAATATTTTTGCCACAGTAGCATCCATAACAGAACTCATTTTCAACTCACTAGCTAGCTCCTCACTTCTTCTTTTTTGTTTGTTGATGATGGAATACAAAAGAATCTTCACAAATTGTTCCGAGTTTAAATGACAAACGAGTGAAGAGAAAGATCACAAAAAGTGAAGATTCACAATTAGGACATACACGAAAGAGCGTGGGAGAAAGATCAAAATTCAGATCGAGAGGTTCAAATTCAGAGAGAGAGAGAACAAAAAACAAATATAAAAAAGAAGACTAGTCCGAAAAAGATTAAAAGCGACAGAAAGGAAGAAAAAAAAGAGGAGATGATTGAATACAAAAGATATTACAACTAAAACAAATTTCTACAGAGAGCTAATACTATATTATTCTTGAAGAAACATGTACCTATAGCTTATGGATATGTTTGAATGTAGCTAGTAATTAAGGTGTCTCAGATGCAGAGTGACAAACAAGTGAGAGAGAAAGATATAGAAAAAGTGATCCACAAGAGAAAAGAGATACAAATTCAGATGTAATAGATATGTTAGACAACAAATGGAACCATAGAAATGCAAAGAACTTATGGACTATTATCGTTTTGAAGACGTACCTCTAGCACTTATGGGATTTGTTTGCACGAAGCTAGTAGTGAGTGAGATAGAGCAGAAAGTAAGATTGCAGATCGAGAGAGAATGAGTGATGCAAAAAAGAAAGATTAGAAGGAAAAAAAGGGGGAAAAGTAAATTCTGAATGGTTAAAGGAGGAAAGAGAAAAAAAGGGGGAAAAGTAGACTTTAAAAAAAAAAAAAAAATTATACAATCAAATATTAAAGAAAGTAATAAAAATATAAAGAAAAATATTTACACACACACATATATATATATATATCAATGGAAGGTTTTATAAAAACTAACAAATGCATGTTTTAGTGTCAAATAAGATCACAAGCATGTGTGTCTCATCTGCAAGAAGTGGCAAAAAGAAAAAATATACGTGGAATGATTTTGTAAGGTTTTGCTTTATAATAGTATTATACTCCAATAAATATATTGACTGTTAGATGTCAAAAAATATATGTCAAAAATAAAGCCTACGATATGCAATAAAATTCATCACAGCAGAGCATAAATGATAGAGACTGTTACATAAAAAATAAAAATAAATAAATAAATGATAGAGACTAAAATGGCATCCAAGAAAAAAAGGAAATGTATTATGGCCGACACTTTTCAATGGCTCTACCTTTTCGTAAAGCATGTTTAAAGACGATGGAAAATTCCCGTCTCACCCTCTCCATTTCAGTTTGGAGAAAATGTTAAGAGCACCTCATTATTTCTTCTTATGGCTCCATGTAAATTTACAGAGAGTTTGATTATGTCAGAGAATGTGTTAGGCACCCTGAAGCATCTACAAAATATTGCGTATACCAACTTTCAAAACATATTTCGGTATCTTCATTGTTTAATTTTTTTTTAAAAAAATGTTACAATAAGATTGGAAAAAAATGATTTTAGTTTTTGGAAAATAAAAGTGTGTTGGTGTAAAAATGAGTGTGCGCTGGAGAATAAAATGCATTATCTTTTTTTGTGTAAAAAAAATGTTACAATAAGATTGGAAAAAAATGATTTTAGTTTTTGGAAAATAAAAGTGTGTTGGTGTAAAAATGAGTGTGCGCTGGAGAATAAAATGCATTATCTTTTTTTGTGTAAAAAAAATGTTACAATAAGATTGGAAAAAAATGATTTTAGTTTTTGGAAAATAAAAGTGTGTTGGTGTAAAAATGAGTGTGCGCTGGAGAATAAAATGCATTATCTTTTTTTTGTGTGCATATAGAATTTTTGGGTGTGAATGCACTTCACCTTATTGGGAGGGAGAGAGTTAATAATGCAAAGAATTATTGAGAGAGAGAAGATAACATGAAGCTGGAAAATTATTGAGAGAGAAAAAGTGGTTTTGATGTGATCAGGGAAAGGAATGGATAGAGATAAAAGAGAGACAGAGAGCTAGAGTGACACAGAAAGATGCTGATAATTGTTTTTATCTTTTTTCTCTAGTTACATTAAATCGTTTGTTTTTTTAATAATTAATTTTTGAGTACCCTTTAGTCCACTTATTTTAAGTTTCATTGGTATTATTTTTATTTCATTTACATTTTTTTCTATCAAATAATTCAATGGAAGATCTTGTACATTTTTTCTATATCTTATTAACAAAAAATGTAATGTGTCGAATAAGATCACAAGCACACACGACGGACCCAAAAAAAAAATGTAAGAGTAGACAATCCTTAACAAAAAAATATTTTTGGACCACAAAAGTGAAGTTTTACTCTAATTTCAATCGCAACAAACTCAAAATTTTGTATGTAATTAAAAAAAAGTAAGATTTTACTCTATTGTGTTAGGTATTCCTGAAACATTGTAAAATATTGCGAATTTCAAATTCTAAAATTATATTTTTGTATCTTTATTTTTTAAAATTTCAAAAAAAAAAAAGTTACAATAAGATTGGAAAAAAATTGTTTTAGTTTTTTCCAAAAAAAAAGTGTGCACGCTAGGGAATACCATGCATTATCTTTTTGTATACATATAGAATTTTTGAGTGTGAATGCACTTCACCTGATAGTCAAAAAAGGGTTATTGATAGGCAGGGAGAGAGAGAAGATAGCATGATGATGGAAAATTATTGAGAGTGCAAAAAGTAAAGGAAAGAGAAAAAAAAGGGAGGAAAAGTAAATTCTGAATGGTTAAAGGAGGAAAGAGTAAAAAAAGGAGATTGTTCAAAGAAAGACCATTTATGCAATCTATTTTGGAATTTCACTTAAAGAAAGTAACAAAAATATAAAGAAAAAAATTAAAAATTTGTATCAATGGAAGGTCTTACACATTTGTCTACATCTTATATATATATCATCTGGATGAACTGTCAAAAAGAAGAAAAACAATTATGTTAAATGATTTTGTAAGTTTTTTCTTTTGATTTATAAATAGTCTTAGAATTCTTATTGAGGGTTAGGTTTAAACAAATGTCTAAAATAATGTCTTAGATATTTTTTAGACATGTGCAATATAATTCATCATAGCAGAACATATTGTCACGCCCCGCCTATGGAGGTTGTGCCACACAGGCGACACGCAGACACTGAGGAGGACGCTGCATGGCAACTGCATGGCAAATGGAGTTTCTAGAGTCTTCCGGAGTTGTTTAAAGTTGTGTGAAAGATTCTAGATATGTGTAGTATATTCTAGAGTTCTCCAGAATTGTGTGGAGTAGTATGGAGAGTTCTAGAATGTTGTAAATACTAGTGATAAGTATGGAAGTGTGAAAAAGGTGGGAGAAGATTCTAGAGAATCGATCTCCATCGTTGGTTAGAATGCATCCTAGCCATCTATTAGGGATGGGGATGCCTATAAATAGGAGTAGGACTTCATTTTGTAGCCAACAAGTCCTAGAGTGAGTCTTGAGAGCCTTGTAGAGAGTTTGAGTGCTAGCCTTGTACAAAGCATTCTTTGAAGTAATAGAAGTGTTCTTTCCTTGTCAACTTAAGTGCCTTAGTGTGTGTGAGTGTGCAAGCCAAGTGAAGAGAGGGAGAGGGCCACTACAACACTAGTAAGCGCACGAGGAGGGTGTGTTAGCTAAGGTGTGCATTGGAGTTAGGTTGACCAAGTACTTGCGAGAGTAGAAGCAACGTCTTGGTGCCGCACGGGAGTAGCTAGAGTGGTGCTGAAACTCTAAGCCCGTGACAGTTGGTATCATAGTTGGTTCGTCAAGGGAGCTTTGTTGGAGTAGACATGGCTAGCAGAGGAGACTACCAAGTCCACGTCATGGAGCAGAGCTTGGAGGAGAAGCTTGCCACACACTTGGTCTACACGGAGACCAAGTATAACAGGCTCGAGAGAAGGATGGCGGAGTTCTACGAGCTGATTGATGGCATCGCCAACAAGGCACAAGAGAAGGGAAGGGATTTGCATGATCGGGTAGACGACTTGCGCGTGGAGATTGTCGAGTACAAGAAGGAGTTCTCCCAAGCGCGCGAGGTTGTGGTGAAGCCAAGGAAGAAGAAGGCGCCAGAGCCCAAGGAGTATGATAGGGCAAGGAATGCGTGCCAGATTAACAACTTCTTCTGGCACATGGAGCGGTACTTCGAGTGCATGGAAATCGAGGACGAAGAGGAGAAGGTGCAGACAGGCACTATGTACCTCACGGACACTGCCGTTCTATGGTGGAGGCAGCGCTTCACCGGTAGAGGCACAAGAGCGGTTGACACATGGGAGGAGTTCAAGAGGTAGCTCAAGAGGCAGTTCTACCCTGAGTGCATTGAGGACCTCGCCATGATCAACGTAAGGCGCCTGAAGCAGAAGGACAGCATAAGGGAGTATGTAAAGGAGTACTCCAACTTGATGTTAGAGATCCCAGAGATGCTAGAGCGACAACGCGTGTACTTGTTTATTAATGGGTTGTAATCTTGGGTAGCCACAGAGCTGAGAAGGAGGGAGCCTAGAGACTTGGTGTGATGTTTCCAATTTCCAGCATTTTTCATTTTTCAGGAATTTTGTTGCCGCAAGGGCATTTTCGCCTTTTCACGTTTAGCGTACGGGATTTTAGTTGGGTTCAATTGCATTATGTTCATTTAAATTAATGTATTTTATGTGAGTGCAAATTGTTAAGTGTATATATATGTTTGTGGTGTAAATTAAAGGCAAAAGGAAAAGAGAAAAGAAAATAAAAATGGTGGGACCCACATCAAATCTTAAAATGGTCAATAAGGCATATTTACCTCATTTCTTACTTTTCTTTTTCCTCTCACCCACTGGTTCTCTCTCCCACCCTCTTTACTTGTTTTTTTTTCTTTTTCTTTTTCATTTAAAACTTTAACTTTAGATCTCTCTCTTAATACTTGATCATTTTGGGTGCCGTTTGCGGCAAATCGAAGCCCACGACGAGATCTTTCATTTGATCAGAGCAATTTCGTGTTTAGTGCACTATAGGAATTTCGAAATTCTAGGGCACAATTGGGGGTTTTGCATCATTTTAAGGTAGAGGTTCTTAATTCACATTTTTCTTTTTCCTTTGTGAGTCATCTCTTTTTAATTGTTGCGAAGCATGTTTAATTTTAAGTTGGTTGTCTTGAGAATAATATATTAGTTGTATTTGCAATCTATGCTTGTATGTGTTGAAGAAATTGTGTGAAAAGCATGCTTAGGTGTTAATTTTCATGCCTATGGTGTTTATTGATTATCTAGAAGATGATACAAAGGAATATGTTAAATCGTGTGATGCAAATTTTCTTTTATGCTCATATTATTGGTGAAGTTTATGATAAGCATTTCATAGCATTGGGCATGAATGAAAATGGGAAGTGTTTTGAAATAAAAGTGAAAGGGGGCCTTTGGGAGGAAATTTTGATAAAGTGTTTTGAGAAAACCCGGTCGCCGCGGGGTCACCAAAGGGTCGGCGTGTTAATATAGCCTAGAGGGAATTAGGGAGATTGCCCTAGTGTGGTTGAGCTATCTGGGCCCAAAATGACGCTGCGGGGGTACCAAAGGTCAGGCACAGTAGCCAATCCTTCTCTAGTGTCGCTGTGGGGTCACCAAAGGGTAGGTTATATTAACAGTTTGTGAAGTGATGGATTTTCCTAAAAATGGGGAGTGACATGCATAACATTGCACTCACGGCATGACATTTAATTATTTTGAACTTGGATTTGATATGGTATTTTTACCCTGCTTTGCATGACCCCGTTTCCTATTGTTCTATTCTTAGGTTGGGTTTACGGGACTACAAGAAGCACGTTTTAAGCATCACCTACTGAGCAACTTGCTCACCCCATTATTTAACATTTTTTAGGGCGGGGAAAGGAAGTGATGAATGATAGCCCCCCACAAGCTTGAAAAGGAATACAAGTTCACTTTTGATGCCTTTTGTGTAAATGCCATTCTTTTGTAATGTCTCATATTTTAGTAAAAATGTATTCGTGTCGAGAGCCGTGGCCATGTAATGTAATTAGAGCGTTAACGGAATTTGTAATGTAAGGGGACTACGTAATTCTATTGTGAAAAATGGCAAATGGAATGTAGTTTTAACCATTTCTCAAATGCCATTTAATTGTATAACACTATATCTTGTTGCTGTGAATTCGGAAGTTCAGTACTTAATAGGTCCATTGTGGGTTAATATACCTTATACATAATCAGTATGCAGATTCCAGAGAGTTAGGTTGCCTCCCAGGGCCTTTCGGCCAGCTGAACCTCCTCATCAATAGACCGAAACCCCAGG